GAAGGAAGATGGGGCAATCTACTTCCGTAGTGATACTGCCTCGGAAACCCAAGGAGGGGTCGCTATGAGTCGGGGCCAACTCGATGGCGCATAACAACAACAACAACAATAAGGGCAATGGTCTGACTAGTACAAGTATATTTGTGGGGACAGTGGGAGAAGAAGTTAAAACAGGGCCTCCTCTGGGAAACATGGGCAGATGTGTGCTCACCTGTGGTGGCGAGTAAATGCTGTGGGCTGCTAGAAAGCCCTTTCTTCACATTGCGCAGGGTGACTATGTACTTGGTTCCAGGCAGCAAACCAAGGATATCATAGCTGTTCTGTTCCTTGGGCACTTGGATCTGCTTCCCAGAGAGTTCTTTCCCCATTGGATAGTAGCTGAGGAGGTAGTGGTCCACATCACTGGAGGGCTCCCAGCTCACCAGCAGGGAATCCTCTGTGCTTTTGAGCAGCTGCAGGCCCTGGGGGGAGACCACTGTAGGAAGAAGGTGGGTTGAAAGGGTAGGGAGGTGGAGAGGGTAGGGAGAGAAGAAAGGGAATTCATAGCCAATGAGTATATATTGAACATCTGCTAGTCCCAGGGTGGTGTGAATGGTTAAGCTGTTAACCAAAAGGTTGACAGTTGGACAAAACACAAAATCATAAAAAAAAAAAAAAATTAAAATGACCAGGTGTGCTGGTCTGATAGAGTCTGATGAGACATCTGAGACTATGGTCCCGAGCCACCCTTCAGGTCTGCAATTAAACTCACTGCTATGGCTTCCAGCCAAGCAATAGACAGGCATATGGGGTGAACATTTACATCAGGCAGATACACTACGTAGAGAGATCAATTATGGGCGATCAGAAGGGCAATGTTTGCACAGGGAGACAGCTGGTGGGGGGAGCTCATGGGAGGGAAGGACACAGGGAAGAGGTAATTAAGGAGAGGAAGTGGGAAGAGAGCTGTTACATTGTGGGGAATTGCAGTCAATGTCATGAGACAAAACGTGTATGAACTGCTGTATGGAAAATGAATTTGCTCTGTGAATTTTCACCCAAATCACAATAATAAATAAATAAAGGTTGGCAGTTTGAGTCCATCCACAGGTGCCTTAGAAGAAAGGCCTGATGATCTACATCCAAAAAATCAGTCACTGAAAATCCTGTGGAGAACAGCTCAACTCTGACATATAAGAAGAGGTTACATGACTCAGTCCATTCTATGGCAACTGGTTTACTATATACATAGAACACTGTGATGGTGGCTGTGGAAGATATAGACAGAGCCTGTATGAGGCAGCATTCCTGATGCCCTCCTCCCACCAGAAGTTATTAGTTATCTGATTAGGAGGCAATATCGACCTATGACCCTTGGATCATATAAGACCAATAGTTCTCAAAGCTCTGACCCAGTGGCATCATAGAGGGGTGTCAGCGGTGTGTGGACTGCACCAAGTGACACTGTCAGAGGTGTGACACCAGAAGGACTGTCTATAAAATTTTTATAGTGTTTCAGCAAGAATATATATTTTTTTAATTATAAATCCCTGTAGTTATAACAACAAAAACATTTTTCATAAGCCCAGCTTACACGTATTAATATACCTATATATTTAAAACTCAATGTTAATTTACTTTTTGAAGCTTCTAAAGGGCTTCAGAGCTGTCATTATTACCCAATTACAATGAGGCATCAAATCACGTAGTTTCTTCTGTACGCATGACAAGTACGTGCTGTTGTTTTCCTTGCTGCCTGTGTTTTTTATTGTCACTGGTTTTGTCCGATTTTCTGGTGTTTTAGCTACAATATTGTAATTAGCATTTGTAAACCTGTGTCAGCAACTTTTTTGAGAATGAAGTAGTAATTAAAGGGAAAGGAGAAAAATCAAAATAGGCTTCCACTCACTTACTAATAATGCTGTAACTAATAATGTTGCAATCCAATGTAGAAAGATTTTACAAAACAATTTCATTGCTAGTTTCATATCATCTAAGAAACATTACATTTAAGCAACTATATTTATCGCACATTGTTCTATGATTAAAATTGATAATAAACATTACTAAGGATTCTGTACGGTCTGGTGAGGGGAAGGGGAATTGACACCATGAGTTACTGCACTGGGTGACACCAACCTAGTGACTGCCTCCGTTCTTCTCCCAGATCAGCATCACTTGGCAACTTGTTAGAAATGCAAATTATCGGGTTCTACCCCAGATCTGCTGGATCAGAAACTCTGGGGTGAGGCCCAGCAATCTGTGTTTTAACAAGCCCTGATTGTGATGTAAGTTAAAGGTTGCCATCCTGCCTAACACAGGATAACGGATGGTTAAAGGGTTCGGTGGAGCTCAGGGGTGCAGGGAAGGAGAAAGTCAGGTGGGCCATGGCGCATCTCTGGTCTCACCCTGGGCACAGTCGAGGCCCTTGAAGCCCTCCTCGCAGTAACACTCGCCCGTATCGCAGAAGCCGTGGCCGCTGCAGTCTCCTGGACACCGCCGCTCGCTGCAATCCTCCGAGGTGAAGTCCTCGTGGCACTGGCAGGCACCGCGCACGCACACACCGTTCCCGCTACAGTTCTCGGGGCAGGCGGGGTAACCGCAGTCATCCCCTACGTAGGGCTCGTCGCAGAGGCAGTGCCCGTCTACGCAGCGCCCGTGGCCGCTGCAAGCTCCGGGGCAGGAGGGCCGCTCGCATTCGGCACCCTCCCAGCCCTGCTCGCAGTGGCAGCTGCAAGTCCCCAAGGAGAAGGTCCCATGGCCGCTGCAATACCGACTCAGATCTGGGGAGGAAGAGGAAAGGCAGTAAGTTGACCACTGAGGGGTCGTGGGCGGGCCTCCTTCCTTGGAGACCCGGAAGAGCAGGCTGGTGATTTCTGGGGTGGTACGCAGTTCTTTCTTTGGGGCAGAGTGGGGCTCCAGAAGGGAGACGGGAGTCCGTGCTTTCCAAACTGGGTCAGATTTGCACCTTTCCTCTGGTCTCTGCCTGAAAATCTACCCGAACCAACCTTCTTCCCTCTCCCTTCTCATCCCACCGCTCGCGGGAATTCTAGTTCCTTTCCCTGAGTGGTGGTAATTATTTAGTACCATTTTTCAAAGGGCCTTAAATGTCCCAAGAGCTCTGGTGGTGTAGTGCCTAAGGCATTTGACTGCTAACCAGAAGGCTGGCAGTTCAAACCCACCAGCCACTCCTTGGAAGCAATTGGGCAATCTACTTCTGTAGAAATGCCACCTGGGAAAGTCTAGGAGGGGTCACTATGAATCAGTTTGGGTTGTTTTTTGTTTTTTTTAAATGTCCCAACCTGGATGTCAGCTTAACAGTTTACACTAAGGGGGAAGGGCTGTTATCCCCGCTGGGATGCAGGTGGGATCAGGGATAGACAGGAATTTGTGCTTATCCTGGCTGACTGGGGCTGGCCCAGCAAGGCTGGGTCCTGTAAAATAAATCCAAATTGAAGCTGGAAAAGTGGTTACAGACTGACCTGTAGAAGCTACAAAATAACCCAGTCTAATTTCAATTAAGAGTTAGAGGAGGGAGTGGATTAGCCTAGGTTCCCTCTCTGACCCTATATATGCAAGAGGCAGTTGAAGTCATCAGCCCTTGTCTTGGGCCCCAGTTCCTGCTTCTCAGAACACCTCTTTCCTTCTTAAAAACACTTTCAAAGCTCCACCAGAACAGTGCCCTCATTGTATATTCATGGTATTGTCCCCAGTGCCTAGTTTTGTATCTGGCATATAGTTGTTGTTGTTGTTGTTGTTATGTGCTGTCGAGTCAAACCCGACTCATAGCGACCCCTCCTTGAGTTTCCGAGGCAGTATCACTACGGAAGTAGGATTGCCCAACCTTCCTTCCGAGGAGTGGCTGGTGGGTTTGAACCGCCAGCCTTCTGGTTAGCAGGCAAGTGTCTTAGCCACTATGCTACCAGAGCTCCCTGGCATATAGTAGGTACTTCTATTGAGAGCAATTTCTTCAGGCAGAAAAATCTATCCCAAAGTACCATCCATTATCATCTGCATAGCCTGTGCATAGCCTGGACAGTTTATGTTTTGCTTTGTTTTGTTTTATAAAAGGGAGAGAGGTGAACCCTCACTATTTGTAAAGTCAAATTGTAGTACTTAATTACTGATAAAATAGCTACAATTCGCTGAATATCTACTACAGGCCAGGAATCTTGTATACAGCATCTCCAGTTCTCAAAACTATACTTAACAGTTTAGGAAACTTGAAGGGATTTGCCCAAAGTCACACCCCTGAAAAGTGGTATAACTGGTAGTAGTCCATTCTGGCTCCAAAGTCCTTATCTTTCCTCTCCATCCCATTGCTTCCCCTTTGAGTAGAGATTGGATTCACAGGTAGAGTGGCCCCTAGGGACTTTTTCATCTGAAAGCTTTAACCCAGGAATCTAAACTCATTCCCTTAGCTGCTGGTAGATTGTGCTAGTGAATAAATGAAGAAATAGCAAGGACATAGCCCTACAGAGAAAACCCAGAGTGAGAGAGGTGAGAAGTCTCAAAAGGCTCATGCAGGCAGTGGAACACCTGGTGCTCATTAAATATTTGTTGAATGAATACTAAGTAGCAAGCTTACCAGCAGTGCCTTGGCAGCAGCGATGGACACTACACTGCTCCTTTATCTCCACCATCTCTTCCTCTAGCTTCTTCACCCGAGCCAGTAGGTCCTGGACGCTGCCTGCCAGCTCGCAGTCCTTCTGTGGTGTCTGAAGTCGGATATTATGCCTGAAGATGATGTTCTGTTCCTCCCCAGCCTCCCCTGGAGCCAGGAGAGAGGCCCCATGGTCACTGAGGGGCTGAGGCTCAGCTTCCACTTGCACCAGGGCAGACTTGGACATGTCAATTTTGTAGGTGTGGCTGACGGTGACCTGTTGCTCTTTGTTGCTGCAGTCCTGGGACTCCGGAGTAGCTGGAGCAGAGGCTGCCAGGAGCATGGAGCCAAGCAGGAGCCCCAGGGGGAAGCAGAGCAAACCCTGGAGACTCATTCTTGGAGAGAAGGGGTACAGACCCTCCAGGAAACCTGTGTCCAGAGAAATACAAAAGACCACAGCACTTTGTTGAGGGAAATTGGCCTTTGTAATGGAATTTAAGCATTCACAGGAAGCTGAGAAAATCAGCAAAAAGAGTTCCTTCTCTGTCTCCTGAGGTCCTGAGCCAAATTATTTTCTATTCCTTAATCACACATTGCACATTCCTGCCTCCTGTCTTTGCTTACACTGTGCACTCTGGATGCCTTTCTCTTTGCTTCTAGTTCTATACTCACCTACACTTTAATAACAAGGAGAATTATTAGCTTATAATAATTATTACCTTGTAATTGAGGGCCTACTGTGTGCCAGACGCTAATCCCATTGATCCTTTAATCATTACATCAACCCTAATATCATCCTCCCCATTAATAAAAACAATATTAACTATATAGAGAGCATTTGCTATGTGCCAGGCATTATTCTAAGTGTTTTACATAGATTAACTCATTGAATCCTCATGATATTGCTTTGTGGCATATACTGTGATTACTGCCATTTTACAGATAGGGTAACTGAGGCACCACTACCTTAAATGACTTGCGTACAGGCACACAACTAAGAGTGGCAGGATTTGAACCCAGGCAATCTGACCTCAAGAGTCCATGCTCATCACCACTATGCCATAATGCTTCACACAGATGAGCTTCGAGAGGTTAAGCAAGTTGGCCTGCGTAGCACAGCTGGTAAGGGCAGAGCCTATACTCAGACCCAGGTCCACGCACTCCAGGGGCAGTGTCCTTCTCACAACCCTTGCTTTCCAGCCAGCAAAATATAAGAACTTCCAATAAAAATCCTCCACCAAATCTCTCTCATGCCCCCTCATGCCCTGGAAACAAGCTTTCTTCCGCTAAGCTTTCTGAGAAATGTATTGTTCCCCCTATGGTGGTTTCTTGACAGTTTACTTTATGTTACATGTTACTTTGCCTGTATCTTATCTCCCCCCTAAGCTATAAATCTCTTAATGACAGGATCCAAGGTTGGGTCATCTTGGAGCCCTTTTAAGGCTGGAGCACACCCACCCATAGAGGGGTTTAGCTACTGGTACTCAAACAATTAGTGCATGAATGGCCAGGTTTGTCAGGTCAACCAGCCCAGGGCAAGTCATTAGGTTTTGCTTCCTCTGCCACTTTGGTGACTTGTGCCTAAGACATTTGTCTGCTAACCAGAAGACTGGTGGTTCAAACCCACCATCCACTTCTCAGAAGGAAGATTGGGCAATCTACTTCTGTAGTGATACTGCCTCGGAAACCCAAGGAGAGGTTGTTATGAGTCAGATACTACTCGTCGGCAGTGAGTTTGGTTGGTTTTTTTTTTTTTTTTTTTTGGTGACACCAGGGGATGACCTGGGCCTTCACCAATGTAGTAAGCAACAGAACCCCTCTCCCTGGCCAGTTTCCCTTATGTGCCCAACCTCCATGATGTGATATGGCCCATTCTCTGTGAAGGCACAGCAGACCATAAGAGACCTAGTTCGCTGCTCACACTCACTCACAGGTACCTCAGCCATGAGAGCACATCTCATTCAAGCTTTCAGAGCAGCAGTCATCTAGAAACTGGTCTGCAGAGCTGCCTCTTGACAATGGGCTTCATGCCCAACTCCAGACTCAGAAGCATTTGTACTAGAGAGTCTGAAGAAGTAAGCCTACTCCTTTCCTTGTAACTATGCCCCAGTCGTGCCCAGGTTCGCTCTTCCAAGGAGCTCATCCCTGTGGTGAGAAGCAGCTATGATGGAAAGACAAATTAGAGGGATCCTAGACATCTAACCTTGCAAAGGCTGTTTATTCTGAGCTTCAGTTTCCTCATCTGGAAAGGGGAACACATCATATGTAAAAAGCATTTAGCCCTATGCCTAGCACATAATACCAGTCACCTTCTAGGCAATTCTGACTGCTGCATGTCAGAGTAGAAGTGTGCTCCATAGGGTTTTCAGTGGTTGATTTTTTGGAAGTAGGTCACCAAGCCTTTCTTCCGAGGCATCTCTGGGTGACTGAATCTCCAACCTCTCAGCTTAGAACACTAACTATTTCTAACACCCTGAGACTCCAGCCCATAATAAGTGTTCAGTAAAACTTTCAAGGTTTGTTTGGTTCTTAATCAACTACTGAGTGTGACTTCCTTTTCTTTCTACTCTTTGTGAAGGATGATGCCTACACTGAAGAGCACACAAAGTACGCTGTATGGCTTAGTGTATTGTAAAAGCAACAGCTATGTAGCCACCACCCAAGTTAAGAAATAGAACATTACTAGCATCCTAGAATTCCCCTACATGCCCACACCAGATGTGGTCTCTTTTCCAGCTCAGTACTTGGAATCAGCCAGGTCACAACCAAAAGAACTGTCCTTGACAGACAACTACATTGGTCCAAAAAGGAATAACCATTCCCAGAGTTTCAGCCAAATTCTAACACTGTAAATGTTTTAACTTTTAAAAGTCATTCTTTTAGTATCAGAAAGTAGAGGAAATGGAGGATGAAGGGCACTGGCACAATTATTATGAAAAATAACAATAAGAATTGATGCACTTAAGATACACTTCCAGTAAGATGGTGGAATAGGCAGACAAGCTACACAGATCCCCTTCAACAAAGAAAAGATAAACCAACTGACAAAGCCCTGAACTTTGAAAGAAAGTATACAGAAGTGGATTAGGCACCAACTAGTGGAAGAACCTACATGAAAACACTGAGTTTGGAGACAGACAGAGTGGATTATCAGTTACTCTGACGGCACCAATAGTCTGAATATTTCCAAGTGGGGTTGGGACCTGAGAATGGACCTAAAGATCAGCCCTGGTCACCAATGGCTGCAGTGATGACTGCGCTGCTGGCCCATGACTAGGAAGGCAAACAGCAAAGAGGGAGACAACCTGAGCTGTGGACTTTCAGCTGTCCGGAGGGTGCAGCCATTTTGATTATTTACAAGCAGTGGCCATTTTGGATATTTAAAGTGACTGAGGGTATAACCATTTTGAATGTTTACAAGTGGTGGCCATTTTGGATGTTTAAAGTGGTTGAGGGTACAGCTATTTTGAATGTTTGCAAGAGGTGGCCATTTTGGATATTTAAAGTGACTGAGGGTGCAACCATTTTGAATGTTTACAAGTGGTGGCCATTTTGGATGTTTAAAGTGGTTGAGGGTGCAACTATTTTGAATGTTTGCAAGAGGTGGCCATTTTGGATATTTAAAGTGACAGCATTCTCATTTGTATTTCAGAGTCTCAGAGACAACAAAGCATCACAGTCCACACAAAGAACCAAGAGAAACAAGGGACCAGGATACAGACCCAGAACACATTCCTAAGAAAGAAGCAGCATTGGGACTCCCTCATAAGGAATTAAAAAGAATTATATTTAGGTATCTTTAACAGATTGAGAGAATCAAGGAAAACACTGACAAAACTGAGGAAAACACAGAGAAAACCCTAGCACTATTTCGAAAGACAATACAAGAACAAAATGATAAAATAAATGAAAAATTAGAAATGATACAAACTCTACAGATAGAAATCCAGAAGATTAATACTAGATTTTCAGAAATAGATAACACTTTGAATGGGCAAAGGAATAGAATTGAATCAATAGAAGATGGAAGACAGGATCAGAAAGACTGAAGACAAATGCCTCAGTACTTCTTTAAAAAGGGGTCAATCAGAATAAAGATCAAAACAAAATGAAGACACCCTAAGGTTCATGTGGGATACCATCAAAAGGAATAACCTACATATAATGAGAATTCTAGAACAGGAAGAGACAAATAAAACCACAGAGAAAATTGTCAAAGATTTATTGGAAGAGAAATTCCCTGGTATGATGAAAGGTGAGAATATATCCAATCAAGAAATCCAACAAACACCAAACAGGATAAACCCCAAAAGAAAATCACCAAGACATATCATCATCAAACTAACAAAACCAAAGACAAAGAAAGAATCTTGAAAGCAGCACAGGAAAAATGAAAAGTTACTTACAAAGGGCAACCAATAAGACTTAGTTCAGATTTCTCGGCAGAAACCCTGCAGGCGAGTAGACAAAGGGATGGTATATATAAAACCTTGAAAGAAAAAAATTTCCAACCAAGAATTATATACCCAGTGAAACTGTCCCTCAAATATGATGGTAAAATTAAATTTCCAGATAAGCAGAAATTAAGGGAATTTGTTAAAACCACATCAACCTTACAAGAGATGCTAAAGAGAGTCCTTTGAACAGAGAACCAACAACAGCAAACAGCAACCGACTATTAACACACGTGATGACATAACCCAGAAAGCAACCCAGCTATGGAAGTATCCAAAATAAATAAGCCTACAAGATTGTAAACAGGGGACCAGAGACATCAATTGACAAATGAGGACAACTACAAATCAAAAAGAGGGAAAA